ACTCAGGATTTTATTAATAGTACATTTAACTAATAGTTGCATTACAACCATAGAAGGCAAAAATGACAAAAGTATATAACTAGCTACTTGTACAACTTTAGTCATTGTTAAATTAAGTAGTTTACCTGAAAATTTTATACTAGCTGCCTTACTTGGAACCTGCTTGTAAGTTCTTTATTTAAATACTCTAGTTCTTATATTCATTTATTTACCTATATCTACCAAGATGCTCTAGTTAATACTAGTGCAAATATGCTATAGTTACTAAGTTTTTAAAGTAGTTCATTTATATGAAGAATCTTTGACCTTATACTAAACTTTTTAGAATCTTCTGTATTTTATTCTTATAGCTGATTTGGTATTGCTATAGCTAAGACCAACATTTGTAATTAGAGTATATCATTAAACTGCTATGTTCTTATAAAGTTTATTTCAACTTTAATATTAACTTTACAATATATTTCTATTATTTAATATTCAATTCAAGTTCTACCAAGCTGCCAATTCAGATAGCTTATATTTAATAAAATATTTTATAAGTAAATTATATTTTATATTATTAATAATTTATTGTATTATTTAAATAAAATTTAAAAATTTAGACAAATTTGTTTAAAAAACAGTTTAAAGAATTATAAAATTACAAAAATTTATTTCTTACAATTTTTTTTATTTATACTAAATCAGAACTTATAGTATTTTTTAAAGTCAGTTTTCTTTTGTATAATATATATACATATTATAAAATAACAATAATATTTATTATTTTATTTTTATTTATTATTTTTTTATTACTTTATTTTTTTGCAATTATTTGTTTATTTTATTTTAACTAAAAAATAAAAATATATATATAAAAATAGTTTTAAATAATAATTATACAAACTCTTTTAGAAAATAATTTTTAATTTATTACATATTTATAATTTTGTTAGAAATTTGTATTATTTTGAATAAATTAAAGTTAGTTGTATATATGATTGTATTCATCAGCAAGTTGTATTAATTACAATCTTATATTTGCTAAATAGTATTATTTAATAAGTATTTAAATTTAGTATTTTTAAAAATATTTAAAATAATAATTGTTTATCAAGTATTAAATTTTATATTTATTAAATACTCAATTTTTAAAGATTATTATATATTTAAAATTAATATTTATAATTACAATTTTAATATATTTTATATTTAATAAGTAATTGCTAAGTATTTTTATACTACTTGATAAGTATTTAGTAAGTATTTTAACAAACTTCATAATGTTGTAGTAATTTAAGTAATACAACTTATAGAAATTAGTAATTACCTTCTTATGCTTTTTGAACATCTCACTTTTAATGACTCTAATTGTGTTTTCATGTATTTTGAATTTGCTTTTAATGACTAAGCACATGATTTTTTTGTTTTTTTACAACTTAGAATAAAAATTTAATAAAATAGTAACTAATGTAAATGCTTTTTATGTATATACCATATTGTTAACTAAAAATATCCAAATGTTATATATTCAATTCTAATTTTTTTTGTTAATAGATTTGTATGATGCAGTTGTAAATACTATATTCCATGTATGTAAAACAATAATTTTAAACCTATTTGTCTATTGCTATAAAATTTATTTGCTAAAATTGTATGTGTATTCTAAGAAATATAATTCTTGATTAGTTTTGCACAAGATAAAAAAACACTTTTATAATATTAAATGTAGTACGTAGTAGCATTTAAAGTTTTGTTAAAAATGAATTTAACAAATACATTAGTTCATTAAGTTTTTCAAAAAACACTTCGAAATTAATTTATTAATCGAAGATTTTAACTAACTTAAAATCTTTTATCAAACTAAAAATGATTATGAAATTGAAATAAAAAAGTACTTTAAACAAAGAAACTTTTTTCTGAAAATATACACAATCTAGTAAATGAAAAAGGAATGCATTAACTTTCTAAAAATTGCAACCGAATATAAATCGGTTATATTATATACGGTCAATTCGGTTAATCAGCTATATTGTATCGCCTAAATCGATTATTCTATTATCATAAGCACATGCATATATGGCACACGAACATTGACATTAGAGATGGGCTAAATGGATTGCATACGATTATTTTAATATTAATGAATACTATTTAAATTTTTGGTAAATAAGTAATAACTTAGAATTTAAAGCTCTCGATATTTGTCTACAATAACTATCATTCTTAATTATGTAATTATTATATCACGATTAGAAATACGTATCTTAGATCAATTCCTTATCATTGACGCAAATGTGAGATTAGTTAGCATTTGTTATCAATTCTTATAAGTATTGCTATTAATACTAATCTAATCGATAAGTAATCGCCCATCACTAATTAACATATATGCCACATTGTGTTTTCTTCCGAATTACAACTTTCTTTTAACAAACCGGATATCTTGAAAAAAGTTTATTAAGTCAACCAACCCTTTTTATACTTTTAAATAAAGTTGCATCCGGTCATAATATGGTAAAAATACTAAACTTGATCTAGTAAATTATGAAATACAAAGGGTTTGGTCTTCGTAACTATCTTTGTAATAACAAAAACACATAGTCATGAAGACAAAAACCACTGTATCATATATATAATTAACGGACTACAATTATAACGATAAGTATAAAGAAGGTTAAAGTTTTTTTTTATTTAGCAAAGTATCAGATTACAAAAATTACTATTATTGATCACTGGTATTACGAATTAAGTTTCTACGTAGTAGATTAAAAATTTGATATTTAATGTAAAAAAAAATTAATTAGCCAATAAAATAAATTTTAAGTTAGTTATACAACAAATGAAGATATGAAATTTATTAACCAGTGGCGCTAGCGCTACGTGTGTGTTTTTAATAGTCTACACATAAAAATTAGGATTTGGTACCTTAAAATATATCAAAGTAATAAATTCAAATTTTAGTTAAAGGGTTTTAAAGATTCTAAAGATTTTTTACTTAGTATATCTAATATTAGTTAATTTGTCTGGTTTTGAAATACGTACGTATAACACAATTGTGGTGTTAGCACACCACTGATGTAAAACCGTACGTATTTAAATTTTTAATTGGCGTCTATTTATGGCTTTAAAAATACTATTATTTTTTATATTTATTTAAATTTATTAAGCAATAAAATGCTATATATGTTATACTGTATATTATACGTACGTATAACAAAAAATGTCTTTCGGGCTTAAGAATTGTTTTATATTTCTGTGCTTTAAGTCTAATTTTATATATATATATATTTTTTTTAGACAAAAATTCTAAATTACAATATCTGTTTAATATCTAATATTATATCCTCGTTAGTTAACAATAGCGATATGGTGAATTTCATATCACCAAACTTATTTTTAATAAAGTTAATAATTATTTATTGTATAGTTTGATTTGGAACTAACTATAGGTACGTATAAGGATGCGTATTTTACAAGAGTTATTAGTGGTGGAAACTCAAAGCACAGAGTGCATTTATAGAGCGTCCACTTGAAGAGTCTGACTGTATACTGTATAATTCGTAATCGTTCTTTTTAAATTTATACTTCAAGAAATATAAATAATGAATAGTGTCTGGAACATTATTTTATTTAAAATATATATTTATTATCGTTATATATTATTCATTATATATTTTAAATAATAAAATTTAAAAATTGCGCAATTCAAGATCGGACCCGAGTTAGGTTTCACGGCGGTTTTATGTAATCAGCACCGGGACTGGATTGGGTTATCCGATCTGATTGACATGTACTATAAATAGCTTGCTTAATGAAAGCAAAAAATGATTAAGATTAAAAAAACGGGCTAATTAATTCTATTTCGTAATTACTTGTTTATTTTTTATTTTTTTTTTCCATTTTGCACAGTATTTAGCATAATTTAGCATAATAATGCTATATAATACTATAATAAATAAGTAAGAAATTTGAATGCCAAGAACATAAAATACATAAAACATATTCAGTATTATAAAAGGTGGCTTACGACGGTTACGCATGCGATTATGAAATACTGCGTCATCGAATAATCGACAATATAAATGATTAAAGACGGCGATCATCGACAAATTTGTCTAACCTTCAGGCTCAAAAATCAAAAATAGGAGCTAAACTACGAATAAGTCAAAGATTTGCTAAGTTGATTATGTCATATGGATCTTATGACCTTGTGTACCACCATTGTACGACTATATCGGTAACACAATATCGCCTACTGTTGTACAACTGTCGCACAATATTATTCGATAGTACTTTTTATATTATCATTTCTGACTGTCTCTGTACAGTAAGAAAAACGGAGAAGAATAAAGACATCACCTTTATACGCTTCTGTTTTTGCCAAGTCTCTTAGAAAACATAGGAGGGGAGAACCTTTTACTTTGACCAATAGTAATTTTATTAGGTATATAACTTTAAAGCACTCTTTTTTTAGACAAGATTGTATTATACGCATTTCACTATTCATATATTTAGTTATAACTCAGAGATCACCTTTAATTCACCATTCCTACCTTTCCTTGCATTAATATTTCCCATGTTTAGTCTTTTTACACAGCATAATCTCAACCTTTAAGAACTTTCAGCACTTTAGTCAAAAGAACGTGCCTTCAAGATTTCAAGGTAACTACGCTTTACGTGACGTTATTCCTTGGAAGTCGCGTGGCTCGATATTAAGATTGATTTTTTTTAGTCAGGTGGTCATAATTATTTTCATTCCTTTGTTTTTAATCGATGAAATATTAAAGGGAGGTGAGTCATCATACAAATGATGCTCCACAATGTCTGGCCTCCTATTAATGCATGGATGGATAGCTTCGTCTTCATATTACATTGATCTTTGGATCACCTTCAAATTAGCTTTCATTTTTTAAATACCCAACTTTTTTAAATATTTCATTATTGATTTTATTGTTATTATTATTATTATTTTTAAAAAGGTTTCAATATAGTCAATTCAAATACTTTTTCAAATGAATATGAATAACGACAATATACACCAAAGTTATGGCTATGATACAGCACCAGATTCCAATGTTCATTATGTTCCAAGTCAAACTGGGACAAATGCATATAGTCACCAGCCAAAACGAAGGAGGAAAAATACACTACCGGATCAAATTTCTAATGACTATATTTCTGCATTGCGAGGACCGGATCAGGGTTATGGCTCAACGCAAATTCGAGACGTGCAAACCACCGGCTATCCAAATAGCAATTATCAACATAGCTCAATATCAGCGCATAGTAATACTTCACAACCATTGACATTTGAAGCACCTGTGGTATGTGATTTTCTTTGATTTTTGTCGTTTGACGTTTGTTTTTCACGTTTTAATAATTTGTCGCGATCCTATAAGAATAATCAGCAGGTAACACTTAATAATGCACGACCACTATCTATCGAATCGAATCATAGTATATACGGTCAAACTTCAAAACCTTGTAAGAATATGACTGCATATATGTATTACTATGGTAATACACTATATATGTTTATTTATCAGAAGTACTGATTTATTTTTATTTCGTAGTGCCTAGCTCTATTAAGATGAGCTCGGCACCGAATATCAATCACCAGCGTCAAATTTCACAAACCATTAATGGAATTAGTGATAACCCGAATTGGTATTATCCGGTTCAGAACAATGTTGGTCATACCAACCCAATGCTATCTAACGGTCAATTTGCGACGCAGGATCTTAACACGGATGCTATGTTTCCTAGACAACAAATGACAATGTTAGCTTCGACACAAAGTCGAGATGTGCAGCAACGACCTGTTCATACCGTACAATCACAGCCTAATGATAATAATTCTGTGACACAACAAAACTTGCAAGGGTGTTGGTTATTGCCACAGCCTTTCTATTTTTCTCAACCAATTGATTCATCAATCAATAATACGTTACAATCAGAACTATCGCCTTCTTTTAATTCAATCGCCACAGAGCCAAGGATATCTATTGGTCAGACACCACAGTTTGGTCAACAGAGTCTCATGGAAATATCTGATGGATTAGGGAAAAAACTAGATAGATCATTAACTTTATTGAAGTCGAACGATCAAACGACTTTGCGTAGAGCGTGTGAAGAGATCGCAAATTGTATAAAGAATCCTAAAAAATACACTCTAGAAATCATTCGTTCATCTGAAATTCAGAATAAACTTTTTTCATGTTTAAAGGTTTTTTTTTTTTGCTTAAAATAATTCATTATTCCTATCATTGAAGTATATTCATCAACCTAATTAGTCAAACTTTTTATAGCTGATACGATATTGTAGAGATGACTGCATGAAATTTGCAATAGACGTCTTTCAGACAGTTCTTGACAATCTGAATCTCTTTCCAGAAGCTCAAGGTAGTTTATGATTATTTTTTGATTGCTCTATTTCTCAGTAAGATGTAGTTCACTTTTCTATTTCGTCGTTTTAGTGCAGATGCAGTTTCAGCAATGGTTTAACGAGCTAAATCAAGTATACCACGCTTCTCAACGGAGCATGCCAAGTAATAAACAACCAGTAACAGTTTCCGATAGTATTTCTTCAGTTATTGGGAATCATGGTGCATCACGAATTAGTACATGTCAAATTCAGCCGACACGATCTGTGCGCCAGCAACAGCCTTCAATATCTGTGGCAAATCCAATACCACAACGACGTTCTACTAGTAGTAATATTGAACGGGTGGATCGTTCAAAATGGGCGGGCAGATTAATTGATCATGCTTGGATTTACGGAATTTCACTACATGACTCATTAGTACAGCAATCATTAGTACAACATAATTCAACGTTAATTCCAATTGCAAAAGAATCCATATATATATCACAGGAAACATTCAACCGGATATGGAGGTAATTTGATTATCTTATATTTTTCAGGATAATGTTTATAGGGATTGGACCCGAGATAGGATTTCTAGTACTTTCCATGAAGGATGTTGATACGTGATCGACTAAAGTTAGGTGCAGTAGAATGCTTCTGGGTTGAGTATATTGCATAGAAATACCAATCCAATGCATCTGTGTTCTTTGAATTTTTATTATTATTATTTTTTTTTAATATATTCATTCTTTACCTTATTACCCACACAGATTTTTTTAGAATGGTCCAATCCCCAAGTGTTTGTGTATTTTATTATATTCCTTATTTTTTAGAGAACTTAAGTGAAAAAGCTGATGTGTTTTTTCAGGTCAGAAACGCCGAAGTTGCCAATTAATTCTACACCATCACAGCTACCGCTCACTTATCGTCTTATATCACGACGGACTAAAAATATCGATATTGATCCCAAAAGTGATAAGTGTGATTGGCCACCAGAAGAGGCGTGTTTCAGTGTATATCTTAACAATAACCTTGTCAAACTGGAACGTGTATGTTTATTTCATATTTTACATGTACATATTTTGTTAGGCTTTCTTAAATGATGCTATTTTTAATTATTTTAGAAACAACGGATACTTCATAATGGAGTTGAACAATATCAAGGAGTTGATCGTCCAGTAGATGTGTCTAGATATATAAATGCAGGGTGGAACACCATTACAATAAATCAATGTGGATGTGTTTGGTGTATACGAAATTCAAATGCAAGTATCCCCTTAGGACTAATAAAATTGGGTCTAAATGTGAATATTTTTTTAATTGTTTTTATATTTTTTAAATAGGAACGTGAGATATCGATTCAGGTTTTCGCATGGGAGAGCCAAGAGTTCGTATTGCGCTTAGCCAGGCTTCAAAGACTGACATACGAACATGGATTATCAATTGGTAAATTTTTTTAATCGTGTAACGTGATAAATTTCATTTCGTGTGTAACTTATTGGTAATGGTTTAGCCAAGGTGAAACAATCCCGTTCTGGCGGTTTCAATGGTTCTTATTACGTGCATAATACTGCTATATCTGAAAATTCACGAAGTAATCCTGGCCATACAACAATTGACGACGATGATGAGGTCACAGCTTACAAAATGACAGTAAGTCTTAAATGTCCACTTAGTATGGTACGAATTAAAGAGCCTGCCAAAGGTCTTTATTGTGTACATATAGGGGTTAGTATTTTTTCTTTTTTCCTTTTTTTTAAAGCAATACATTCAATTTCGTACAGTATTAATTATTTTTGAATGTTTTATTGTATTAATAGTGTTTTGACCTTGAAACCTATGTCCAAGTCAATATGGTTCATACAAAATGGACATGTCCAGTGTGCAAGTATGTGTGATTCTTTGCGTTTATGTATATTTATCAATGTTACTTATATATTTTTTCCCTTACACGTAGTGGTATTGTGACATCAGAGACATTACGCGTAGATGATTATTTCATTAAATTACTCGAACAATTCTCATCGTAATGATTATTCCATTTTAATTATAAATTAACCTTTTTACTCGTTATATAAAAAATCATTAACGCTGGGTAATTTTAATATTTAGTAATGTTTCCAAAATTGCAATCGATTCAAATGGAATATGGTCTATTGTAGAGCAAGATGATAATGACACCGAATCGTCAGATGATGAGAGTTCGAACGTAAAACGACGTGACCACAATGCTAAAGAATCTTCTGTTACATTAATCGTGTTAGATGATGACGACGACGATGATCCTGTTCCACCAATGCAATCAACTCATTCTACGTTACCTAAACAGAGTGAAGCACAAATACCGCAATCAACTGATGAGACTATTAACACTAGTATAATGTCGTCTCCTATTTCTGAAGCTCAAATGAGAAGTCCACCGACATTAGAATCCTTAATATCGTCTCCTGTTCCTCATGCTCAAACGCGGAATTCATCAGCTTTAGCATCGTTGATATCGTCTCCTGTTTCTAACGCTCAGATGCGAAATCCACCAGCACTGGACTCATTAATATCGCCTCCTACCTCCAACGCTCAGATTCGGAATCTGCCAGCTTTAGAATCATTAATGTCATCTCCCATATCAGACACACAAACTCGGGACCCACCAACATTGGATTCGCTAATGTCGTCATCTATATCTGATGTTCAAACGCAGAACTCACCAGCGTTGGAATCGTTGGCACTGGTAGCATCTACTCAGATGCACTTACCACAGCCATCAGAACCATCGTCTCATATTGTCCCTCAGATCCCTCAGATACATTTGCCTTTGCTAGTGGATCCATTACCTTCTCCGGATGCGAATAATGATGTGACTGCTAGTAATGCATTTAAAGCGCACTACCGTACCCAGGAAGCAAATCCAAGTACTTCGACACCACCTAATGATAAAGATCCACCTAGTGATAATGATAGATGGGAGGAATATTCTGAAGAAGAGGTAGAGGTATTATGTGATTGGACAATAAATCCCTTATATTAGAAAAAACATTGGAAAGTTGTTGGCCCAAATATTTTTTAGCAAAAAAATTTCATTGCTAAGGATGATTAGCATCATTTGATCTATTTTTCTTGCTTTGTAAACTGTCACAACTTATTTGGGTCGTTAGGGAGCTAGATATGAAGTGATTAATAAATAGTTCGTGGGGTACGTTGTTCTACTAATTCAACCGTAATTTATAAATGTTAGATACATATACAGTAAGTTAACAACGATAACATAATAAATGGAGTTAGAAATGTGTGTGGTATTTAATTAGGGCTTGTGAATAGAGAATCAAAATTCAGGGTACAATTTGATTTTCTTTTTTTTTTTTGTTTCAATGCTAAATACTGTCTGTCTAGCTCGTTAATTTAGGAATTATTTAATTTACTACATATTAAGCATTATTAATGTAATTAGAGTGATAGTATAAAAATGTAAATTTTTCGTATCGATAGAGTATAAATAAATGAGCAATATTAGATTAATTTTTTATAGAAGTGATATGAAGGTTATCAGTCCAAAAGCTTATTCACAATCAAAGAAACTATCTAATTTCTGTTAAGTTACATGCATTAAAAAAAAAAAAATGGTGATATAACGTTATTTTGAATACTTTCGTGCAAGTTGTCCTGAAATCTGAATAATTTTCCGAACAAAAAGTACAGGCTTAAAAATATATCAACACAAAATTTAATGCAGAAGCATATTAAGAAGTTAAACATAATATTCCTACAGAAAAGTCTTTGCCTTAAATTATATGAGTAGAGTAGTTAATGGTTGGGTTGAACTATTCTTCAACCCACTCCAACTTAGAGTCACTCCAGATTTGTTTTAAGTTGCTCCAAACTATTTTTAACCCACTCTACTTTGGGTTGAGCTCATCCGGGATCAGCACCGGAGTATGCCATTTCATTTAACAACCCTATATCTGAGTTAAAAATCAAATCATGAATTTTACTTGCTACTAAAAATTTGTAAGTGATTAAAACTCATGATTTATTTTTTAACTCAAATAATTTAAAGGAACGCTTTCTTGGTGTACTACGGATAAGTGATAAAAGACATACAAGATCGATATTTTTTTAGCCAACAAAATAAACCTTTACTATGTTTAATTAATTTAACTTTATTTTTTTTACGTATTATATAGTGTATATAAATGAAATCTATAATCTAAATTCAATTTCAATAACATTTAAGGTTGAGTCCGACTATTGTATAAAATGACTCAAGTTTTTTATAATCTAGAATACACCTAATGACAATTCAAAATTAAACTGTTCCAAAATCATTAGTAAGGCCAGACATTCTACGTTCTGATAACATCATATAGTTTTGTTGTTCTCGAGAATCCTCGGTGTTCACAATATCTGGGTGACGAATAGCAGAAAGATGACGTAGAACATCCTTTTTAGTGATTAAACCAAGAAGTTGTCCATTTTTAGTAACTAAAATATATCGAAGGCCCTGATGCGTTTAGAAAGAACAACATATATATTCGGAATATGTATTTTGTAAGCGGTTTAAACAAATATTATTTGAACTTATTTTATTAAGAAACCAAAAGCTTACCATTTTTCTAAATAATTCTATTGTCATTTCCATTGGAAACTTTGGAGATATGGTAATTGGAGTCTTAACCAAATATAAGAAAGGGCAAATCAATAAATACCTAATTATAACATTATGTATGAGTTTAAATAAAATATATATAATTTACTTGATCCATCCATGGTCTAAAATCGATGAAAGCAGTTGAATCAAGTAGTGGAAGATTGCTAGAGAAATAGCAGGGACTCATTAATGAAATTCCCGGTTTTTTTTTTGCTTTATCTGTAAAATCATTGTTTGCATTGTTATTATCAATAAATACTTGTACGACAACGCAATATTAATCTTACCTATTGCATATCGCAGTTCTGAACGCGATATATATCCAGTAAGTAGCATATTCTTTACATTGTTGATTACAGGAAAACCTTTATAATCTGTATCATTAAGTAATTCATCTAAATGCACGATTTACAAAGGTTGTGTCAATGATGGTACTATAATAGTTTAATCCCGTAAAAATATATATCAAATATGTTATACCCAAACTATCCAAAGTATGACCTGTGGCCGTTATTACCATCAAGTCTTCTACTCGAGTCATGTACTGAGATGCTAATGTATTATATACATAATCTTCTTTGCTATCCAGGAACGGATATTCATTGATACGTATCCATCCATCATAAATACCTTCCTTAACAAATGCATCGCCAACCCATTTACTTATCATTACTAGAGAATTTAGTAATAACATTAACAACGAATTTGTCATAAAGAATTAGGTTTATTATTTCCATACCGTACCAGCGATCATAATAGGTAAAACATAGGTCAGTGCACCAGTCAGTTCAAACATAATAACAACAAGCGATACTGAAATAACATGAAAATTTTATAAATTTATTGTTAGAAAAAATCGACTTTTTTTTTTATCTTCAAAACAAATTCTACCTGTCATGCGTGTAACTCCCCCAAAGGTAGCAGCTGCACCGACCATAGCATACATTCCCGGTGTAATGCACTCGGTATCAGGTTCGCATGATGCAAAAAGCCAAAATCCAGGATAATGTCTGAAACATTGCAGTTTTTCAGCATAAAATGAATATATGTGTAATAAATTTATCATTTTATAAATTAAATCCATTATATATATAAAAATAATTTACCTGTGCCAAGCATGAACCATCAATCCAACAGCTCTGCCAAAGCAGGCACCTATTGCTATAGATGGCAACCATACACCGGCCGGAACTTTCAAACCAAACGTTACCGTTGTAAGAAAGAATTTTAAAAAGGATGCAATTAAAAGCAACAAAGTCGGTTCCCAGTGATCGGTATAACTTTAATACATGACAGTGATATATAAATTAGCATTAGTGTTTACCGAATATGATTTTTCTCATAATGATAGAATTATATCAGAACTTACTTGCATAAACTATGATAGTCTCCTCCTTCACATTCACGGAAGAGATTCGCAACTAGTTCAGATGGATTGACTCTTGATATAGAGAGACATTATTCAAATAAAGAAATGTTATATTATATTTAGCAAGTTCTACGAAGACGAATGATATATATGACTGATTACCTCATATAAATGTTTAAATAACTCACGATAGAAGTAAAAAAGGCCATGACTATTACTTCTTGTACACTAAAATAACGTAGCCACGAGTCTTTACGGAAAACTGCAACTTTCAGATTCATGCGAATGAACAAAGCACCATAAAGGCCCTGTAATATGTAGTAATAATAACAGGTTAAATCAGTTATTACATGCATTTACACGATTGGACATATGATTTTAATCAATATAACATACACCCATTATACCCAATAATGAAAAAAAGATTAAATCAAATCCATGCCAATCTCGGTCGTAAACAACCTGGAAAAGTACGAGTTTGCCTGTTCTATATGGATTCATAGACTAACATTACATAAAAAAAAAAAAAAATAGAGAATATTGTTTGATCAAATGAATTATATTGATGACAAAATGTAACCAAAGTGTAAATATCATCAAGGATGACCTACTGCCAGAGCTACTGCTGCAACCATGGCACAAAAGAAACTTCTCCACATAGTTCTGAATGGGAAATAATACGATACTTCCTAATTTTATACACGTTAATTTGTGAAATAGTTCACAATAAATTGATTAATATAATTATTCTTATGTACCTCTAGACTGAATAGAACACCACCAATCGGAGCACCAAAAGCTACTGAAACACCAGCAGCTGCGGCAGCAGATAATACTTCACGTTTTTTAGCTATAAAAAGATTTAAATTCACTTTCAGCATTGATATTAAATTTAGAAGTGTAATATGAGACGCTGACAAATATTTATTATATATATTACCTTCATTGTATCTGAATTTTGGAAATATTTGAGGAATGATGTTTCCACAACAACAGGCTAAATGAATTAACGGACCCTCTTTACCTAAACATAAGCTTGAGGCGGCAATAAGGCACTGAAAAAGGTTGAATGTTAATCTGATTATGATTTAATCACGTGGGTTAGTGGAAAGAAAAGATTAAATAACTTACCACGCCTATACTCTTGATAATTAGAGTCCACCAACCTAAAAATTTCCTGATAACAAAACCACCAAGAATAGTCTTGATTTCAGGTATACCGCTACCAGGAGAATAAGGAGAATAGCATTTTACAAGGAAGGCCGCTATTGTAGCAAAAGTTGTCTAAAACATTTGGGTGAAACTAAGTTAATGAAATTAATGAACTTTTGAAAACAGGTCAATAATCTACTTACGGAAAATATTATATAAAATAAATAATTAGTCCAAAATTCAGCAGTCGCAGATTTTGCCTGAAGCGCCGTGGTCCATCTAACCCATTCTACACATGAAGCATGATCATCTAAAAATTTACCACATTTCTGAATTTAGCACTTATTGAATACTCACTCGAAATATTTAAAATAATAATAATATTGACAATACCATTGTAACCCCAACAACAATTTTTTCTATTTAGATAAAATGCGGTTTTACAATACCCCTCTTTTAAATCACTAAGCCATTCCGACGTTACGTCAATAACGGCAGCAAGAATTCCTGATATCACACCTATAAATTTTATAAATTATAAATATTTACAAAATTAGGTTTAAACACCTATAATTTTTTTTAGACAATTAGTCGAAAATAAACAACATACCAACAGCTAATACAACGATCCAACCTTCCATAGCGTCAAAAATAAGTCTCAATTGGCCTACTAGACCATTTTGTTGTCGTAATGTTCTCTGGCGAGCACGCTCTTTAGCAAAATCATGAATCCAATCTTTGATAATTTTATTCAATATTATTGATTAATCAAATTATAATATAATATAAATCATAGAATGTTGATATTAGACATTAAAGTAGTGAATAACATATCAACAGACCTATTGTAGTAAAATCTTCATAAGCGACTCTTCTTCCTGTACCCTCTATTGACCAATCCGCAAAATCACTATCAAATTCATCATAATTATGTTTTCTTAAATTTGAAGAAGAATAACCAGCCTCAGAATTATTTTTTTTTTTCATTGGAGATTCAGGCCGGGAGAAAATTCGACTACTTGCAGCTTGTACAGAATTTTTACGTTTAAAAGTAAAATCATCTAAAGCATTCCTATTTTGTGGAAAATTTATGGGAGTGCCATTTTTTACGTAATTTTATGAAGAGGATAAGGAAGGTTAGCAGTAGAGATGTTAATCGACTCAGCCTGCTTTTACATTTATTATAAATAATGATTATGCAGGGAAGAAGTTTGTTCTTCTAATAAACCAAATTACGTAATAAACGGCACTTCCCATGAAAGGTAATGAAAAGGATTTTAGAATTCATTGAATAACTTATTAAGAAACTATAAATTTACGAATGGGGAAAAAAGGGACATCGAAAACCAGAGATCGAAGTTTAAAGTAATTAAATTAACCAGCTACTTACAACTTCGTTTTCAATGCTTCTGTTGCCGAGAGAGTTAGTTGCTCGAATTCCTCAGCCTTAATAGCCGAGAGAGTTGGTTGCTCGAATTCTTCAGCAATATCAGCCGAGAGAGTTAGTTGTTCGAATTCTTCAGCATTAGCAAAAATTGGAGAAGTCCCTTGAGATTCGGTTGAGAGATTAAAGTTTCTTTCTACACTAACATTTGATGCGCTAACATGATTATTGGGAGTTGAGGTGCCGGTGGTTATTGGAGTGGTCCGTGTTGAGTTGTCAAGACCAATTTCGTCCATTATTATTGTGGATAAGATAGACAGGATAATCATTAAGTCGTTTATCCTATAACATTCACGTGCCATGGTCACGTGATTCGCCGAATAATCACGGTGCGCAAAATATAAAAAAATTATTTTACAATTCGCTAGTACATGTCATGATTACGTATAATCTAACAACATTTTTATTATAAAATGGTGTTAGATTATAACATGTACTAGCCGGTATTACGAATAGGAGCATGGTAGGATAGAACAAGACGTAGTGTATGATACGTTAAATCGCATTTGAGTATATAAAACTAGCATACTATACTCATAATATATATTATATATAAAATAGTATAGTTGTGAAGAATTTAATTATTATATGTGACTTCACGAAAATTCTATTGAAATTTATTTATCGTTGTAATAAAAGGATAAATGTATACGTCGCATACTGCGAGTGCTTATACATCACATATATTTACAAATTATAATTTAACAACTAAAATAAACTACCGTACAGCGCTGCATATAGTATCCCGGGTATTTTTCAAGAAAGCTGGCCTAGATTGAATAATACCCCCCAAATA